TGGATGTCGAAGAAAATTGTCACATTTTCTACCATTTTCTTTCCATGTGAGGTTTTTTTGCATCCTCTTTAATGACAAACAATCTTTTAAACCTAGGTATTATTGGCAAATACCATAAGACCTTAGCAGGGAGACCCTCTATTTCTTCCTCACCACTACTTCCATCAGTTTTCATTTTGAACCGCGACAATCCACCTGTTGAACACACTTTCAGTGTAGAAAAATCATTTGTATACAATATGCAATCATTAGGGCACGCGTGTATCTTCTTATACTCCAAACTCATTAGACATAGTATCTTTTTTGCCTCATAGTTGCGATTAGATAACGTGTTATCTTCTGGAAGCATCTCCTTCAACAACTCCAACAATTCTGTGAAACTTTTATCAGTCCAGCCATTTCTTGCTTTTAAACTAAACAATCTTAAAGTTGCTGATAATCTTGTAAACATACTGCATCCTGGGTACAATGGTTGCTCAAAATCAGACTTTAAGGTATCATACACATGTGCTCTTTCAAAATTTTCTTCACCAACATCACGTATCATCTCTTCTAAATTATCGTCCATCCCTTCAAAATTTTCAGTTGTTGACACCGTTGGAATGTCTAATATTTCTCCGTGCCATGTCCATACTGTATAACTCTTCACAATACCATATATAAACAGGTGATCACGTATTTCTCCAACTTCTTGACGTATCTGATTCAAACATCGAACACATGGACAATAATATGCCCCTTTGATGGGTTTCCCATTTTCTCTTGCAAATTGCAAGAACTCTTCAACTCCATTTCTGTACTCTTGACTAATGCGACTTGCATTCATCCAACTTCGATTCATTATCTATACATTAACACAAATTAACTATTCACTCAGTTATTCATAATTTTTCTAACCTAAACTTAAACCCTAAAAAATCGATAGTAATTTCGGATAAAATCCATAAATATTTCTACTAATACGATGGTAAACTAAAGGTCAATGCCTAAAAAGTCCTTCTTTAATGCATCTGGAATGATCCATTTTGAAACCAGAACGGGTCGTTCTAGATACACAATTAACACAAATTTTATGTGTCTAGAACGGCCCGTTCCAAAATTAGAACGGCCCATTCCAGCTACAAAACTTTTGTGTAATTTTTTAACTGGAACGGCCGTTCTGGTTTTGGAACGGCCCGTTCCAGATCAACAATTAACAAACAAAATAATTCAAATAGAACGACCCGTTCTGGTTGCAGAACGGGCCGTTCCAGATGAACATATAACAAAAAATAAACAAAATAATTCGTAGAAAAAAGTTACCTCAAATATGGAATGTGCAGACTCTTAGAGGCTTAGACAAACGAGGAATGTGCAAACAAACAAACTTAGAGACTTAGAGACTTAGAGAAGAAGATCTTAGAAATGTTTTCGTAAACAAAGGGACGCGCGGGAATGAGAATGAAACGTTGGGGCATTTTAGTGGTTAATTTATGTCGGACAAGGGGGACCCGACGTAAATTAGACAATCTGCGTCGACCACATGACCCCTCCGACGTAGATTGTCTAATTTACGTCGGACCCCCCCTGTCTGACGTAAATTAGTCACTCTTTATTTACGAAACTGCCGCCGCGTTTTTATAACGTCGTATTTTTGTTTTTCTAACGTAAATTAGGTGACGTAGTAGCCTATTTTTGCACTAGTGAATGTATGATCAATTATATGTTTTGGGTTGTAATTGTATGATCTAAAGTTCCTGTGGGTTCCTATGAGAAATCCTAAGAATTTGTGAAATGATTGATTGATATGTGTAAATTGAGTGATTTGAAATGTTAATTGCATGTTATAGAGTAATTTTATCGATTGTATATGTGTTTATGCATGAAATTAGATGTGGATAACTTGTAGTCATTGAAGATACGTAATTTTCATGAAGGATATATATATATATATATATATATATATATA